AAATCAACCAAGTTCTTTGGTTAATCTCTTCCTACCCCTCAGGTTTTTTTAAAATTAGAGGGGGGGGGGGAAGAGGAACAAATGTAATCTGAACAATAAAGATTTTAAAAAAAAGAATAAATAGTAGCTATTTTGCATGCTGCTTCAAGTAGCATCTCATCAGAGGTCGGAGGTATCATTTCCTTTTCATATCTCTCACAGAACATCATAATTGACACAACCAACCAGAGAAGGATAAGTATTTGTAGAAGAACTGAATAATGAAAAATGTAAGGTTAAGTGACTAACAAAAAAGAATTCACTGGAAAACACTTTGGTGGTTTCTCAAAAAGTAAAGCATAAAATTACATGACCCAGCACATCCACTCTAGGTATACACCCCAGAGATCAAGCCGCAACCTGGGCATGTGCCCTGACCGGGACTTGCAACCCAATCTCATAGTTCATAGGTCGATGCTCAACCACTGAGCCATGCCATCCAGGCTCTTTTTTTATTTTTCAAACTTATCTTTATTGTTGAAAGTATTATAGATGGCCTATCTCCCCCCCCTCCACAGACCCCTCCTCCCCACTCCTGCCCCCCCCCCCGGCCTTCATAGCACTATTGTCTGTGTCCATGGGTTATGCATATATGCAGATAAGTTCTTTGGTTAATCTCTTCCTACCCCTCAGGTTTTTTTAAAATTAACTTTGCTCTTTAAAAATTTGAAGAGTATAGAATGGTCCGTACAATTGTAACCACAACAAAATAATGTACTTTGTTTTTTCCTAAAGCATGATTGCTTTAAAATATTTAAAATTGTAAAAATGAGGCAATTTTACTCTAGATGTCTCTTAGTACGGAAATAATATTTTGTTCTAATATTTGTATACTATATAACAAAGTTCATTTGTACCTTATAACAAAAGACAACATATTTTAAAACAAAAGGTGGACATACAATCATGCTAGCTATTTGAATGACTCATTTTTCTCATTTTGAAATTAAGGAACTAGTATAAGATCTCTAAAATAGTAACTACTTTCCATATCTTTTCCTAAGAATAAAATCAATGCAGTCAGCTATAGAAAAACATTGTTTACCTTTTTTAATGTGTTGTATCATTTCTAATTTTATCAAAATAATACTACACAGGTTGCACAAATAGCTCAAAAATGCTTATAAAAAACAGCTGCCCCATTCAACCCCTCCTCTTCAACAGTTCTGCTTTCCAAAAGCAAGCAATTGCAGCCAATTATGATTTGGATTTGCTCTAATAGTTATACCTGATTCTAAATGTGATACTGATAGGGCTCACTTGAGTTTTTTATGGCTGCCATAACAAAATACCACATAGTTGGTTTAAAACAACACAAAGTTACTATATTACAGTGTTGTAGGTTAAAAGTTCAACATAGATATCACTAGATTAAGATCAAGGTGTTAGAAAAAACTATGACACTTTCTGGAGGCTCTAGGAAAGCATATCTTTCCTTGCTATTCCTAATTTCTAGAGGTCAAACACAATCTTTGTCTGGTGGGTTCCATCCACATTCTTCAAATCCAGCAACATCAAACATCTCTCTGCTCTTCTTCTATCATCACATTTCCTTCTGGTCACAGTCAGAAAAGGTTCTCTGTTTTTAACCACTCATGTGAAAAGAATGGGACCACCTAGATATTCTAAGATAATCTCCCTTGCTCAGGGTCTTTAATCTTAATCACATTAAACATCAGCAAAGTATCTTTTGCAAGGTGACATATTCACAGTCTGTGAATTAACAATTAAACAAATTTGGAGGACATAATTTGGACAATCACATGGCTATTTCATATGATATATCAGATTCAGATATCATGTCTTGATTGCCCACTAGTAAAGATGAGGATTTAGCTCATTTGCACTACCTCCACCCCTTTCTCCACCTTCCAATTTTGGATATTTGCATTATTTTAATTCTTCCATTAGTCACCTGGCAACTTTAAACACTGTATTTATATCTTTACTTTTCCTTGTCAACTTTAGACAATTCCCTTTAATTACTCACTATGTAAGATGAGTTTCACTCCTCTTCCTTCTACCATTCTCAGTCCTTCTGTCAATTTAATCTTCACATACACATTGTATGTAATATACACATCACTTTAGAGGCCTGGTGCATGAAATTTGTGCACTGGTGGGGGAGGATTCCTCAGCCTGGCCTGCATCCTCTCGCAGTCCAGGACGCCTCCTGGGATGTAGAAGTGTGCCAAGCAGCAGGCACTGTGCTGTTTGGCTCATCCGCTCCCACTGCACCTGCTGCCACAGAGTCAGGAGAGGCTCCCACTGTGGCAGCTGCGCTCACCAGCCCTGAGCCTGGCTTCTGGCTGAGTGGCACTCCCCCTGTGGAAGTGCACTGACCATCAGGGGGCAGCTCCTATGTTGAGCGTCTGCCCCTTGGTGGTCAGTGCACATCATAACGACCAGTTGTTCTGGTCATTCCAATGTAATGGTTGCTTAGGCTTTTATTATATACACTAGTGGCCCAGCGCACAAAATCACGCACAGTAGGCCACCTGCCACTTCCGCGGGAGCCAGTGGGAGCTGCAGAGCACCCACAGGAGCTGGTGGGAGCCACGCCACTTCCGTGGGAGGGAGGTGGGAGCGAGCCGCTGCCGCCTGTAGGAGCTGGGGGGGGTGGGGACCAAGAGGTGTTCCATGCATCTCCTGGTGACCAGTCGCACATGCAGCCCCACCCACCCACACACACTCGCCGCACACGCAGCCCCATCCACCCGTGTGCGCCTGCTGCATATGCAGCTTCCTGCTGATCGGCTGTTATGCATGAGGGTGTGACGACCATTTGAATATTAGCCTTTTATTATATAGGATGTTATATATGATCACATTTTAATTCTGCTATATAAACATCTTGACTTATATATTTTATTCTGACTGTAAATATCATTCATGCCTAATCCAAGTAGTATATTAGAGTCACAGTTCCTTTTCTTTGATGCCAATGTGAGTCCTTTGCCAATCAAGGGAGAAGACTCTCCTCTAAATTGTACTTGAGCCCAGCCAGTGTGGCTCATAGGCCAATGCTCAACCACTGAGCCACACTGGCCAGGATTCACATTAATTTTAATCATAGTTCCCACTTGTATAAGGAGAGTGATAATCATATTCAAAATATTTTGAATAATCTTATTAAATATATACATATATAAAATAAATGCCTTTATGTGTGCTTGTATACTTGGACAATTACCTCAGAGGGGAAAAAAAACACATCTATACTAATAAAAGAATAATATGCTAATTAGACCAAATGATCTTCTGGATGTCATTCCAGACGTCCTTCCGGACAAAGCCACGGTGGCGGAGGCTGAGGCCATTAGGGGCGATCAGGCCTGCAGGGGAGCAGTTAGGGGCTGATCATGCTGGCAGACAGAGGCGGTTAGGGGGCAATCAGGCCAGCAGGCAGAGGCAGTTAGGGGCAATCAGGCTGGCAGGGGAGCAGTTAGGGAGTGACCAGGCTGGCAGGCAGAGGCAGTTAGGGGACAATCATGCTGGCAGGCAGAGGCAGTTAGGGACGAACAGGCCAGCAGGCAGAGGCGGTTAGGGGTGATCAGGCCAGCAGGGAGAGGAGGTTGGGGGCTATCAGGCAGGCCGGCAGGCGAGCAGTTAGGAGCCAGTGGGATCGGGCCTAAACTGGCAGTCGGACAACCCCCAAGGGGTCCCAGATTGGAGAGGGTGCAGGCCGGGATGAGTGACAGCCCCCCTTCCGTGCACGAATTTTGTGCACAAAGCCTCTAGTATATATATAACATACAAGATACAAGGTGGGACAAAAGAAGATTTGCAATTGTGAGTATGCAAAACACAGTTTATTCTTATATTATTTATTAATTATTGTTTTATTTTTCATATGAACAATGTAAATCTACTTTTGCCCCACCCTATATAAACATACTTTTGAGAAATTAGATATATATGTATATAATTATGCAAATTACACATATATGTATACACAAGTTCTCAAAAAATGAAAGACTTCTTATAACATATGCTTCATAATAACTCAATAAACTAAAAACCACAGTCAGAGAAAAAACAGTTGTAAAATGCACCAATTCTCTATACATACCTGAGTTTTTGAGACCCTTTTCTTATACCTCAAAGCATATGGTGGGATATCAAATATAAATTGAGTTCTAGATAAATTCACTGGTGCTTGCAATACTATGAGAAGAAAGTAAATAAACTGAAAATTAATAGATATAAGCTCATAGATAATTCTTACTTATACTTTTTAACATGAAACAATAAAATATACAATTATTTTCTATTTTTATATATTGCCAGGAAGACAGAAACTTAAATTTTAAACATTTTTAGAATATCTTAGTTTATCACATCTATAAAATTCCAATTTTGTATTTTTAATGGTAATTAAGTACAAAACTGAAAGAACTACCCTTAAGACAATAAAAGAATATAAAATATGAGAAATATTAAGCTGAGAAAAAAGTAAACAAAGTTAAAATGATCTGCATACTGAGTTTAACCAAATGCAGTACAGAAGTGAAAAGAAAACATAGCAGAAAAATTATGGGATTAAATAAAAATATGTAGATTGTGTATCATAACATTCATGCATGATAAAAGAAAATAACCATTCTATTAAAGATTAGAATTGGTGGAATCTGTAAAAATATATTAGAGAAGATAGTATTACCCGTTAGAAAATCCTTTTTAAAAAATTTATTAAATTTATTGTGGTGACACTGGTTAATAAAATTACACAGGTTTCAAGTGTACAATCCATTGATTTATCACCGGCATATTGCATTGTGTGCCCACCACCCAAAGTCAAATCATCTTCTGCCACCATATATTTGACCCCATTTACCTTTTACTAACCCCCAACACCCTTCCCATACAGTTGTCTGTGTCTATGAGTTATAGTTTATTTTTCTTGTTTGTTCATTTGTTGCTTTCAGTTTTATATCCCACATATGAATGAAATCATATGGTTCTTGACTTTTACTGTTAGATTTATTTCATTTAGCATATTTTCAAGATCTATCCATGTTGTTGCAAATGGCAGTATTTTATCTTTTCTTATGGCTGAGTAGTAATCCATTGTATCTATGTAACATCTTTTTTATCCAGTCCTCTATCACAGGACACTTTCATTGTCTCCATGTCTTGGCCACCATGAGTAATGCTGCAATGAACATAGGTGGTGCATATATCTATGCAAATAAATGTTTTCAAATTTTTCTGGTAGATACACAGAAGAGGGTCTAGTGGGTCATATGGTAAGTCTATTCTTAATTTTTTGAGGAGCCTCCATACTGTTTTCTGTAGTGGCTGTACCAGTTTACTTTCCCACCAGCAGTGAATGAGGGTTCCTTTTTCAACACAACCTCTCCAAAATATATTACTTGTCTTGTTGATAATAGCCATTTCAATAAGCATGAAGTGGTATCTCATTGTGGTTTTGATTTGCAATACCCAGATTCAATGCAATCTCCATCAAAATCCCAATGGCATTTTTAAAAGAAAGACAACAAAATAAGTCACCAGATTGTATGGAACCACAAAAGACACTGAATAGCCAAAGCAATCCTGAGAAAAAAGAACAAAGTTGAGCTGAGTTCTGGCTAGGTGGCTCAGTTGGTGGGAACACTGTCTTGCACACAAAATGATTGCAGCCTCTATTAGCAGTCGGGGCACATATCTAGGTTGCCCCGACCAGTGGAGGCATGTACGGGAAGTAACCAATTGGTTTCTCTCTCATATGGCTTTCTTTCTCTCTCTCTCTCTCTCTCTCTCTCTCTCTCTTTCTCTCTCTCTCTCTCTCATCAATAAACATATCCTCGGGTGAGGATTAAAAAAATAAACAAATGAAAGAGCAAAGCCAAAGGTCTCACACTCACTAACTTCAAACTATGGTACAATATGACAATTATCAAAACAGCATGGCATTGGCAGAAAAACAAGACACACTGACCAATGGAACAGAACTGAGAGCCCAGAAATAAACCCACATATAAATAAGTAAATAATTTTCAAAGATGAGCCAAAAACATACAATGAGGCCTTGACTTACGAGTGTCCCGACTAACGAGTTTTTTGAGATACCAGCTGTCTCTCGGCCGATTTTTTACATTTAGTTGGCAGAGTAATTTGAGTTAACGAGCTCCTTAACGAGCCCCTTAACGAGCTCGGTCTCGGAACGAATTAAACTCTAAGTCAAGGCCCCACTATACAATGGAGAAAATAAAGCCTCTTCAATAAATGGAGCTGGCAATACTGGAAAGACACATGCAAAGGAATGAAATTAAACTGCTATTTGTCACCATAGACAAAAATTAACTCCAAATAGATAAAAGACCTAAATATAAGACCTGAAACAATAAAATGCATAAAATAAAACATAGGTACAAAACTTAATGACCTTGGTCTTAACGAGGATATTATGAATCTGATCTCATAGACCAGCAAAGTAAAAGCAAAAATAAATGAATGTGAGTATACCAAACTAAAAAGTTTCTGCACAGCAAAATAAACTATCAACAAAACAAAAAGACAACCAACCAAATAGGAAAAGATATTTGTGTACAGCACCTCCAATAAGGAGTTAATATAAAAAAAAAAAAAAAAAAAAATCTCCAGAAACACACACACACACACACACACACACACACACACACACACACACTCCAATTAAAAATGAGCAAAGATACCTTTTACCATACAAATAGACAACAGATATATGAAAAGATGCTCAACTTCACTAGCTATTAAGGAAATGCAAATCAAATTCTCTTTTTAATAGACTAGAGGCCCAGTTCACGAAATTCGTGCACAGAGGGGGGGTCCCCTCAGCCCAGCCTGCACTCTCTCCAATCCGGAACCCCTTGGGGGATGCCTGGGGATCAGGCCTAAACTGGCAGTCAGACATCCCTTTCACAATCCAGGACCGCTGGCTCCTAACTGCTCACCTGCCTGCCTGATCGCCCCTAACTTCCCCCCCCGCCAGCCCGCTCACCCCCAACCC